TCCCGGGGTCCTGGGATCGAGCCCCGCATCGGGCTCCCTGCTCAGCGGGAGGCCTGCTTCTCCCTCTCCCACTCCCCCTGCTTGTGTTCCCTCTTTTGCTGTGTCTGTCTCTGTCAAATGACTAAATAAAATATTTTTAAAAAAATAAAAAATAAATAAAATCTAGATTTTTTTGTGGTTCTCAGCCATGGGTGATTTCATCCCCTGGGGGAATTTGGCAATGTCGAGAGACACTTTCAGCTGTCACAACTAAGGGATGCTACTAGCTTCTAGTGGGTAGAGGCCAAGGATACTGCTAAACATCCTACAATGCACGGGACAGCCCCACTCTCCATCCAGCAAAGATTTATGTGGTTCAAAATGCCAACGGTGCCAAAGATGAAAAACCCCGATCTAGATACTAGAAGTTTCCAAAAGTATGTTAATGCAAAAGTAAACCTGATTCACTTTTCAGAAGAGAAGAGTATCAAGTGTCCACATATGCCTTGGGCTGTCCCTGGAACACGCATGTGTTTGGGAATGTCAACTACAGCACGTTGTCCAAGGCCACAAAGCAAACCAAGCAGGAGCTGTTTACTAACCTCTGAAACCGATGGCTCCCCCCGTGATGCAGCCACTAATGACGCTGTTCCTCCCATCTGACCTTCCCCGGTGCTGTGGGTGGAGAAACGCAGTTCAGAGCCAAAGAAACAAGCCAGACAAGATGTTTAAGGGAAAAAAACACAGGGTTTCTAGCTGGCTAATTTAGTCCCTCCCCAAAGGAAACCTAATCCTTTTCACTTAACAAAATATAGTTCCTAAAATTTGAATGTGTTCATAGATGCTTCCTGCAGGTGGTACCAGAGCGCTGAAACCAAGTGCGCCATTTGAGGAGTAATCAAAATCTCTTCTCTGGTTCCCCAACAAGTCTCACGGTTAAAATCATTAACCAACTTCTAACAGACACATGAAAACATGCTCAACATCTCTCATCACCAGGGAAATGCAAATCAAAACTAAATGAGATATCACCTCACACCCGTCAGAATGGCTAAAAACACAATAAACAACAGGTGTTGGCGAGGACATGGAGAAAGGGGAACGCCTTGCACTGCTGGTGGGAATGTGAACTAGTGCAATCACTCTGGAAAACAGTATGGAGGTTCCTCAGAAAGTTAAAAATAGAACTCTTGGGGTACCTGGCTGGCTCAGTCATTGGAGCATGTGTCTCTCTTGAGCTCAGGGTTATGAGTTCAAGCCCCATGTTTGGTGTAGAGATTACTCAAAAATAAAATCTTAAAAAAAAAAAAGAACTCTACCATACAATTCAGCAATCACACTGCTAGGTATCTACCCAAAGAATACAAAAATACCAATTCAAAGGGATACATGCATCCTGATGTTTATAGCAGCATTATCTACAATAGCCAAATTATGAAAACAGCCCAAGTGTCCATCTATTGACGAATGGATAAAGATGTGATAAAGATATATACACACAATGGAATGTTACTCAGCCATAAAAAAGAATGAAATCTTGCCATTTGAAACATCATGGATGGAGCTAGGGAGTATTATGCTAAGCAAAGTCAGTCAGTCACAGAAAAACAAATACCATATTATTTCATTCATGTGGAATATAAGAAACAAAACAAACAGGCAAAGGGAAAAGAGAGAGAGAGAAGGGCAAACCAAGAAACAGACTCTTAACTATAGAGAACACACTGATGGTGACCAGAAGGGAGGTAGGTGGGGGGATGGGTGAAATAGGTGATGGGGATTAAGGAGTGCACTTGTTGTGATGAGCACCAAGTGTTGTAGGGAAGTGTGGAATCACTATATTGTACACCTGAAACTAATATAACACTGTATGCTAACTAAAATTTTAAAAAATTTAAAAAATAAAATCATTAACCAACTTCTAGCCTACAAGGAGAACTAAAAAACAATGCAAGCCTAAATAAATGCAATAAATGCCCAAAAAGTTTAATTAGGAACTATTTTTATTTTTTAAGATTTTATTTATTTATTTGACAGAGAGAGAGAGAGAGAGGGAACAAAAGCAGGGGGAGTGGGAGAGGGAGAAGCAGGCCTCCCGCTGAGCAGGGAGCCCGATGCGGGGCTTGATCCCACGACCCCGGGATCATGACCTGAGCCGAAGGCAGATGTTTAATGACGGAGCCACCCAGGCGCCCCTACATTAGGGACTACTTAATGAAAATTCAATCTACCAAGTCTCAGACATTTCTGATCTGCTTTCTAATCAACATTTCTCTTTAGAAGTCATAAGATGGAGGGGGAGGGGGATGGGTGGCTCAGTCAGTTAAGCGACTGCCTTCGGCTCAGGTCATGATCCCGGGATCCTGGGATCAAGCCCCAAGTCAGGCTCTCTGCTCAGCAGGGAGCCTTCTTCTCCTTCTTCCTCTCCCTCTGCCATTCCCCTGCTTGTTCTCTATCTCTATGTCAAATAAATAAAATCTTCAAAAAAAAAAGGAAGTCATAAGGTGGTACAGGCAAGGCTTTTTCAGAAGGCAGAGACACTTACAGATTCTACCAAACACTCAGTGCAAGAAAACATGGCGCCCACAATGGCAAAATTTTTGGCGTAGGACATTCCTCTCTGTCCCATGTCTTTAAGAACTTCCTTTGCTGTCGGCGTACGATAAGGATCCTTAGGGTCAAAGCCCACATTGGTATCAATGCCGGCAGTGAACACCCCAAACGCACCTCCCAAGACAAATCCTAAAAACAAACACAGAAATGAAAATTTCTTTGGCATGTTTTCTAGGTTACTGTAATGAGGTCATCATACTCAAATACACATTTTGGATGGCCACCAGCAAAGAGGACACTCCCTACCTACCCCCGCCACTCCACCTTGCCACTCAGACCCTCCAGTTAGCTGGTTTCCACATCACACAAGCCAGACCTTGTTGACAGTTTCTGTCTTCCTTTGGATTTCTTCCTTTTCTTTTTTTTAAGATTTTATGTATTTATTTGAGAGACAGAGATAGCAATAGAGAGTACAAGCAGGGGACGAGAGGGAGAAGCAAGCTCCCCGCTGAGCAGGGAGCCCGATGTAGGGCTCGATCCCAGGACCCTGGGATCATGACCTCAGCAGAAGACAGACACTTCACCGACTGAGCCACCCAGGCGCCTCGCCTCCTTTTATTTTCTAACATTCCTCAAGATTCAATCTTTAACCTTCTGCTCTCTGTCTATACTCATATATTCAGCTATCAACTTTGCAAATCACTCCCTTGACGATGGTGACATTCATAATTGTCATTTAGTGAGTGCCATGTGCCAATTACTCTGACGCGTTATAGTCACAGCTTCTTTTATTCTTCATAATAGTCCTGTGAGGTTGATACTATTATCGTCTCCATTCTGTAGCTGAAGCAGCTGAGGCTCAGGGAGGTTAAATAACTTCCCTAAGGTCACAAAGCTACCAAATGGCAAACCACACACTGCTGTCCCCAACTTCCTGAGCCTGCTGGACATTTCCATATAGATGCCCTCTCACCACCTCAAGGTCAATATATGTTTAATGAAATCGTGGACACCTCCCCTCCAGACTTTCTTACTTATGGCTCCTTCTTTCCAGTCACTCCAGCTCCAAACCTCAAGGGCATTTCTGACTGCTGCTTTGCTTCCCCACGCCACAACCCTATGTTCACAATTATCCTAGTCTAGGACCTTTATCACTTCCACTCTGAAGCATTACAAAGACTTATTCATCATTTCATCAAATATGTAAGTGATTTATTAGGGTCAGACACAATGATGAACAAAGACCCAGGCCAGGCCTCACCGAGGCTCGGTTTAGCAAAATCCCTATACCGTCTCCCTATCCACAGACTTCTTCCTTTCCCACACTCCATGCTGGTTCATCATGTGCATCAATTACTGCCCTAATGCCTAAAGGCAAAAAGCCCAAATCCGCAACTCCACCCCCAACTTGAAAGGGCATTTCCCTTCCTCTTTTCTACCCCCATTCTCTCAATCCTTCAAGATACAGCTGCAGTCTCACCTCTTGTAGCCTTCCCCAAACCAAAAAAAAATACCTCTCTTTCCTTTCTACTATACTTCACATCTGCACTCACTATATTTGTTTCTTGATTGTCTTTCATTCTCATTGAGATTTCAACTCATCTGCAAATGCGGCCAACCTCTTTACAGGAGGGACACCATACATTCATACATTTAAGCCTTCAAAAGGTTTAAAGGGGGGGGTGCTCCAGACTTCTTTCCCCCTTGTTCACCGCCATCTGATCACGTTGGCCACACTGGCCTTTGTTTTTCAAACCTGAAGCCGGTTCCTGGCAGACCTTCGCACTTGCTGTTCCCCTATGTTCCACTTTCCTGCCAGGCTCCTTCCCAACACTGTTGCTTCTATATATATTAAAATGTTAGTTTCACGAGAACCAGGCTCTGGTCTCTTACCCCGTCCCTCCACTGCCGAGCACGTGATGGCTACTTGTAACAATTTGTTCAAAGAATGCTTATTTAAAAGCGAATCAACGAATGAATGAAGTCAACCATTTTATAACCAACCTCCAGGCCCCGACCCGTATAGTACTGATTCTCTGATCCAATTTCCAGAGGCGAAAACTAACCTCAGGGCCTAGAGAAGGGTTACTCGAGTTCACGGATCGAGGCAGGGGTGAGGTCAAGATCGAGGTCCACAGGCTCCTCGCCTCCCAGGCGCGTGGTCTTCTTGGCAGGGGACCCCGCTGCCGTCCAAGCCCTCAGCCTCCCAACGGCCCCCCTAGTCGCGCCTCACCTCCCACGCAGGCCAGCGCTGCCTTGAAGGCACAGCTTTCCATCACCTTCTCGATCATCTTCTGTTCCTCACTCTTGGTCGGGCTCGGGATCCCGCCCAGGCTGCCGGGCTCCAGGAGCCGGGGCTGACGCTTGTCGCCCACCAGGTATTGCAGGAGAAGGCTGTACTGCAGCGGGGCTTCGGCGGAACCCGCCGCCTCAGGCGCGGAGGCGCCCGCACTGGGGGCAGCCGCCGCCATGACTGCAGTGGCCCGAGAAACCCTGGCGTTCTTCTTCCCGCAGCAGATTCCGCAAGCTTCACGTCAGGGCCCTGCGCGCCTAGCCACCGTGCCGCAACGGCAGATTCGCCACAACGAAGTCCAGTAAACTGCGACAGCAAAGTCCGTTCGTGCATCCAGCGAAAGAGAGATGTTCCCCCAAAAGCCTCTTGTGAATACCGAATCAGGCTCGTGCAGCATCAAGATTCAGAGTCACCAGAAAGCGCCCTCTTCCTTGGGGCTGCAGCGCGGTGGGTACAGGGATCTGTAGGCCACGCATTTCCCAGGAGGCTTTGCGCGGGCACGCGCCTCGCCGCGGCCTCTGGGGCTCCCGGCCGCGGGGTGGGGGGGAGGGGCAGCGCGCCCGCGAGGCTGCAGCGCTCCGGGGCCACGGCAGGGGGCGCACGCGCCTCGCCACTGCCCTTCCAGCCTAAGCATTCCTTACGGAGGTCAATGGTGGAAGGTGCTTTGCAAATAAACGTGAAAGCGTGGTATAAATGTATGCAGTGTATGTTTTGTTTGACAGTTAAACCTTTGCGGAGAGAGAAGGGACCCAACAAATGAGTGAACAAATGAGCGAAGCTAGCCAAGTATAAGAAAAATCAGGGACGGTGGTAGGAGGTGGAGACGACTGGCCAGATGGAGAGCGCAAGGCTGGGGCTGCTACTCCAGCCAGCTGTTGCTGTCAGTGGAATTGGTGATGGGGGACTAACATTGCCCTGGAAAGCCACGTTTATAGTATGTGAAATTAAAGTCTTCACCGGCTTGCCGACTCAGAACCTAAAGGTAAATTGTAAGATAGTATAGTACTGTGTATGAACCCAGGCAAACTTTTGCAGTTTTTACGGTACTAAAATAGATCCCAAGCTATTGCCTTGCCCCAGACTAGCAATGTATTTGGGTGTTTTAGCTAAGAGAAACATAAATAGAAACAGGTGGTGAGCCTAGCCAGTCAACATAGGCAGAGATACTTCACTGGTACCCAGAGTTCTCTGTGCCCGCGAGCATGGCAGATGCTTCACCCTGCTTCTGTTCACACCAAGCCACTGACCAAGCTGGTCCGAAGGTCCCCCCTTGGCTTCCCAGTTGCTGAATCTAATTCAGACCTCATTTTACTAGACTTCTCCACTGCATTTGACACTGTTGACTCCTTCCTCCTTGTCTGAAGTTTCTTCATAGTTTTGGTGGAGCGTCTCTCCTACTTTTGCTACAGCCTCTCCAGTTGCCCAGTTTCCTTTGTAGGCACCTCTGCCTGGCCTTTTCTTGTTGGTCCTCTCAGGGCTTCATCCTTTACTCTCTTCTCACGCAGCTCATTCTACCTGAGCAGCTCATCCTCGTGTTCTACTCCACTTCTAATGCAGTAGTGATCTGAAATCTTTATCTCCAGCTTAGACCTTTCTCATAAACACAAGAACCAGACATTTCCCATAAGCACTTCTAACTCGGGCGCCTGGGTGGCTCAGTTGGTTAAGCGACTGCCTTTGGCTCAGGTCATGATCCTGGAGTCCCTGGATCGAGTCCCGCATCGGGCTCC